TGGATAAAACTAATCATCAAAGTGTAAAATAAATATCAGAAACTCTGGACAAAAGTGACTACTGTCACCAGTCATTGAAGGATGCATTGCCAACAAGATGGAATAGCCTGTTAAACATTGTTGAAAGCTAAAGCATGAAGTTTTGAAAAGGTTAGGGAGATATGGCGTGTGCTTGGATAAAGATGATCTTGACCTCCTTTCAGCATGAAGATATTATTGTAACCATTCAAAAGTTTAACAAGGCTGCCTGTCACAATTTGCCAAATCTGACATCTGTGCCACTGATAACAGAAAATGAAAAACAACTTGTGATTGATGCAGGCACAGTTAAGAAACTACAAGAACTACTTCTGAAGTTCATGGATAAGAGAATTCCAATAAACAAATTAGTCAAACTTGTAGTTTCGATCAATTCATTTACTTGAAATGTGGTATTGTCACCCGGTGAGCATGAAGCATTGCTGAGAGGGGCACATTATAATCTGCAGACATCACCACTTGCTGAGCAAATTTTTTATTCTTTGGGTCCACGTGAAGAGAACTTGGAAGATCAAGCTGAAGTGAGTGATTATGATGAGTCAGAATTGGAGAAGTTCAGACTGGAAATGTTAAATTAAGCCAAGCCATATACTGAAGAACAAGTTTACAGATAATCTTCTAAATGAAATTCATGGCTATATGACAATAACTGCAAACAAACAAATTGCACTGCACTTCTGGGAACAACAACCCTTGTATGGCAAAAGTGTATCTTTCACTAAGTTCAGGGAGTGTCCCTCTTTAGTGCCTGTTTAGTTCTGCATATCTCATTTTGAATGGGATATGTTCTTCCCTGGGACCATATAGAGTCAACATGATATGCTTTGTACTAGACAATTTTAAATTAATCTTGTGCTTGAGCAACCCACTTTTATCAGGGTGGATCTGTAACAGCAACTGTAATAATATGTTTTGAGATTCTAGGATTATTTTTCAAATCAACAAACAACTGAATGAATGAATTATCCTTACCCTCCTTAGTATTTTTAAACTTTGCATAAGCAGTACATTTATTTTAATAATTATTTCATCTTGTAAATTTTATGGTTAATATTTAGAAAGGAGGAGAAACCATATTAAACCTATATGCAGTGAGCCTATCTAATACAGTAATTATAATATGCTGTGTATTATTTTCCAACTTGTGGTTCAGTCGGCCAGCAAGCTAACCAGCTGTATCAATAGTGGTTATCTGGCTAGTCAGCCAATAAGTACATTTATCTAGCTACTAAAAAAAAATTGTCCCAGCTCTAAGGTTTGTAAACAACACCATGGCTTTTACAACAAGTGTTAATGAAAAGTAGGTTGAGAGAAACTTCATTTGCTTTGAGAATCTGATGCATTTTGAACCAAATTCATCAGAAGAGTTGCTAGGTTCATCCAGAAAGTTCAACATGGTTTTCTCAGTGTCCACGTTGTTGGACACAGTGAAAACATAAAGAAGGTTCCTTTTCAACCTAGAGTCTGATTTTTGACATATGCTCTGGCCACTCCCTGATGATATTAATGAGATCCTTCATCATTGACAAGCAATCGCAACATGCTGTAATATCTTGTAGGTCATCATGAATGGCAAGTTTTAAGATAATGAGCAGTGCTTGGTTATTGCTCTTTCATTTGGGGCCATACCCAAGTTAATTTACCAGATAAATTACTGACTCCATCGTATGGCAGGCCATTCAAATTAGGACCCAGGTAACAGCAAAAGCATGCTTCACGCAAACTGATTATGTCTGTAATGGGCATTTGCAAGATATATGGATTGCTCACAGGGCTCTCACATTTCAGAATACTCAATAATTTGGTTTTCATTTTAAAATTAAATTGATGAAAAAATATTAGATTGTTATTATTTCACCCACATAGGCTATTTTACCATTATAGTTTTAAAAAGGTTTGCAAAATATAAGCTCAAACATTTCTGGAGCTTAACCCATATTCCTAAATATTGGAGCATAGGCATCAAGGGCCTGTTTGAGTAGTAGTAACAAATAGTAACATTACTCACCAATTTTGGATTTTGTAGAATACTAACTAGAACGGAACATAAAAAGAAAAAAAGTCACTTGGTGTGGCAAGTACAATAAAGTAGAATATATCTCGTCTGTTGTGTTCAGATGGCCAATCTCAAGCTGTATGTTGTCTCTATGGACAACGTTGTATATAGAATCACAGTGGAAATAGAGTAGAATCAATTTTTGTCATTTAGTGACATTGTTGTCAAGTAATATTACAGTTACAGCATCCTTTCCAAGTATTACGAGTTTCCTGTGGCTCAATAAACTAAAGATTTATTGTATTTCCTGCTTTTATAAATAAAGCTACTTATTTTTTGAACATCAATCATTATGTTTTAACTTAAAGACTAAACTTGCAATATTACACAATGAACAATAGTTAAAACAGTTCTAAAACCATACCTCATTGCATGCATGCAAACTGAGGATTAATCTTTTACAGTAGCGTATGCTTTTAACTTGCTGATGTTTACCAATATTTCATGTAGCAAGCTGTAGTTTTGACTGTTATAGTTCTTCTCATAAATTGACTACCTGTTATTATTTTGACAAAATTAAATTGTTTGGTCATAAAAGGTGCACACCGTCTACAATGAAATATAAAAGTTTTTAATATTTCCATTGATAACATTTTTTATCTGTGCATGTTTCTTGTGGTCCACGTGAATCATTTTGTTTTCAGTATATTATGTAGGATTTTAAAGTGCCTTTTCTATGATTGTTCTTAACTCTTTTTAAAACCCAGAATCTCTGTAATAGGAAATAGCCTTTAATATCTAAGCAGTTTTAACAGGCAGCAGGAGTAGTGAATTAAAGAGAAGATTAGACCTCCACTTAATCTTTTTTTCACTGATGAAATTCACTTTTTGGTGAAGAAAAGGAATTAACAAATAGATAGATAAACTTATTGGTTTCATCTTTATTGATGAAAAATACAGGACAAAATACTTAAAGAAAAAGTTCTGTTATTTTGAAGGTTTGGTTGTTATTACTTTAATACTTTGTACTCCAATGTACTTACTTTTTCAACAATGCTATGCTAAGTTGCAGGCATTGTTATTACTTTGAGATAACATAATAGCCTTTACATTTTTGGGGATACTTAGTAAGTTAGAATACTTTTGAGTTCAATTACTACTGCAGATTTCTCTACATGAAAACAAATTAAGCAAGGTACATAATAGATTAGTCTATAGACAGGGATAGGCTGTTAGACTTGATATGGCATGCATACTTTATCATAAGAATTCAATAATTGCAATGGGATAAACCATCTTTCTCCAATTAACTGTGGTGATTATTTAATAACAGTATGATTTGTCAATGGTTTAAAACATTCACTTTATTTCTTGTACCACAAAACTGAAGTGTTCAAATATACAATCTTAAATTTAAATGTGTTGGTTGGTAAGAAGGCTGTTTATTTTTTGACTCATGTAGTTGTTGTTAAAGTGTGTGTGTATGTTTAGCAATAGTAGAAGTTGTAAGTGTAACTTGTTACCCATCTCCACTGTTCTATCATATTTTTGATTCATCAGATGAGTCAGATAGAAGAGTTTCTTCTCAAATAGTCACAGAAATACCCAATAAGTATTATGAAACAGTCAAACTATTCTTTCTTAGTTCTTATAATTATTTTTTACTTCAATATTGTAAGCTAAGTAAAGATTATGTTGTACAGTAACTTTGTAATGTAATGACTGAACCTTTCACATGACATACAAAAACTTATATAAAATATAATATCACCTTTAAAAAAAATACTCATTTTAAAGGTTCATAATAAAGAATTAATTTTTTTTCTTAATGTCTGAAAAATGAATAAAAGTAGACCTGTTGGTGTTATTGTGTTGACCAGGCCTGCATTGCATATCTTTATGAAGTACTATGTAAGACACTCAACAGCAAACATCTGTGTTCAGTGTTGTAAAAATATTACATAACATTTAAGGGACAACAAGGGGCCTTTTGTAGAGCATATGTTTAACATAACTGTTATCAAGTTATAAGATATATACATTACAGTCAATTCTGAAAGATAAAAAACATTAATTACAGATGTGTTTAAGTATCATTTCTGAATTTTACAAGTTCTGATAGCTAACTCATCATTGCATGTTAAAGGGATGAATGCATTGCAGAGAAAAATATTTTTAATTTGAAGAAGTATTGAAAATTTCTTAAGGGGTTTTTTAGGTATCAAGCATCCTTTTGAAATCATTGTCTTTACATAACTTAGCATCAAGTACTGGAGAATGGAGAGCATTGAAAAAGTTTTTAGTGTTTTGGTTGCTTCTGTAACTTTAACAGCTAATCTAGCAAAATGTTTCTGCCACACCATTAAAAGCTTTCAAAACAATGTTTAACTTTACATATATATATATAACACATAAACATTCATGTTAAATAAAAATGCAACATTTTTTCTCTGTTTTAGATCATGCTTCCCAGAAGCACATTTTTTTTACAACTGGTTTTCAAAGCTCATGTATCATTTATATAATTTGAAAGTTTGCTCCATTTTTTTTAATTCATTAAAATATTTCATGTTATTATGTTAGAAGTCTGTATGTGATGTTTTCACCAAGTTCTAACCTAGGCATAGCGTTTGTAACATATATATCATGTGTGCTAATGATAAATTATCTTTATGTAACAGTAATTTGTAACCTGTATTTAGTTCTTTTATCACATTCCAGAAGAAGCTTTTCTTCTGGCCTATGATGCCAATTATAGAAATGATTATTTACTTATTGAATATTTTGTTTTGTGTTTTATCAAGATTTATGACAACTTTCGTTGGTTGTAAGTTTACAGAGATGTCCAATTTACAAGTGTTTAAAATATTAAACAACTTAAAGTTATGTTGAATAGACTGAGTAACAAAAAAGAAGGCATTGTAATTTTATTTTATAGAAAATATAACATTGAAAACTTTTTCAGTGGAGGAGTAGACCAGTGTTCATTGTGCCTAGAACCACCAAAAGATCCTGTAGTGTTGCCTTGTGATGATGTGAACTGTCAAAATTGCATTTTGAATTGGTTACAATTACATTCAATTCCTCAATGTCCCAAGTGTAAAAAAGTTATTCCAGAAGACTATGAACTATTGCCTACTAGAGAGTCAAGGTACAATACTTTGGTTTACATTTCACGTTGTACACATGCAAAATAAGCATGTTTCAGTCAGTATAGTATAATTATAACATATTCTAATGGAATAAAGCATTTTTACACTATTATAAGTCTAAACATATGTTTGTGTTGTTTGAGCAGTTTACCTTTGTCAATGAACTTTCAATCAGAAAACTTTAAATACATTTTGCAAATTTTATCTAAATAGCTGCACCTATTAGATTGTTCTTTTTAAAAATGCTTTTTAAATAATAGTCACTAAAAATTCTTTACTCAACAACTCACTGTGTAATTTTAGAAATACTACTCACCTCTTCACACAGCAAATAGCTTTTACCTTGTCCACTTGCAATAAACCAGGTGGTTGGTTCAATTCTGATCTTGAATCAAGATTCTTGACCTCCTGTTTCTTTTACTTCAGTTAAACCAGCTCCACCTATCTTGTGATGGGTTTTGCCTCTTTTATTTCTACTGCATTTGCTTCTAGTTCCTTCTTCCCAACATGGAACAGGTAGTCTTACCTTAATCCTTCATTGCTTGGATACAGGTATGTGTCTTTTGTTTTCTCTTTCTCCAGTTATTTTTTACAGAATCTCAGGCTCATATGTTACTTACTCAACTTCTTCACTACTTTTCATGTTTCAACTTCATTTAAAAGCTTTACATCATGACCCTGTGAGCTTTACTGTGTCAATTTGCACATATCTATTTTCTAATTTGCCCTTGATTTTCTTCCTTTTTGTCTTAGTTAACTTGATTTTTTTATTTCTGGGATGTACTTTGTATGGTTGCCTTACTTTCTGGCATTCACCTTTCTCAGTCATCTCTCCAGGACCTCTGTCTTACACATTTTATTTGTCATGTGGAATTTTGGAGGTGTTTCTTATATTATAGTATCTTGAGCTGATGCAGCACCTCACCAGTCATCTCTACTCACTTTGGTTTCTTGCCTTTGGGACCAGAAAACCCTCTCCAGATTTTTCATCATATACAGCCTTGTGAAGTCACCCCTTTTATATTCCTTGTCCTTTAATTATTTTGTGGGTCTTGGAAACTATTTGTCTTTGGAGCCTCTTAGCTCTGGTTTGGTGGGGGCTTTGCCTTCCCAGTTTGTGCCCTGTGGCCTCAATTCACTACAGTGTATTGAGTTGTTCAGGTGCTTTCTCAGGATTTTTTCCTGTCTTCCTATTCTTTACCACACCTGTTTCAAATGCCGTGGAACATTTCCTCAACTTCACTCTGGGGGTTCTACTCGTCTCATTTTTATTGTTCTCACATAGATGGAACGTTGGAGGTCATTAATCAGTCTGTCTTACTAGAACTAACTTTGGTCTTCTCTCAGTTCCTGTTTGATGTTTTCTCACTCTGCGGTATATATTCTTAATTCTTGTTGGTGGATGACCCAGTTTGAGGTCTCAGACACTTTCTGTACATCCCAATTTGTCTGTCCATCTTCTGCTTCCTTCAGCTCATCCACAATGGTAAAAAATTTAGTTATTCAGTTGCCACTCCTTCCTTTTGGGTTGTCTGTGTCCTCATATATTTTATTGGTTCTTTTGAGCCTTTGCTCAAAGGTTGCATTCCTGAGGCCTATTGTTCTTCTACAATGTGAATATCTGGCCACTTCTTTCCACTTCCAACATGGCTTCCTATGTTGTAACCTCTCTTCTCCTTCAGGAGTTGTCTCATTTAGGATTACTAGTTCAGCTTTCCAGTTCTGTCTCATCACCACTCTGTATCTCATTCACTGAGGTGACTTTCTCACTTTGTATGCAGGACAGACTCAGCCTTTCTTTGTATGCGTTTGAGCCATAGAGCTTTTGATACCAAGGCTCTAATGTCTCCTTAATTTCTTGCACAAGAGGATCTGTCTCTTTTTTGGGGACTATTTGTTCTCTTGAGTTCCTTGTTTCTATTGGATCTATCACTGGTGTCTCATTCAGTGGCTTGTGGTTTGTAAAAGCAGTTATATTGAATGATCCATTGTCTTTTTTCCCCTCACTGTCTTGGTAATTCACTCAAACCCAAACGACCCTGGAAGTCCCTCCCACCCCATCTTGCGTCTGTTCAGAGCCCTCCTCTGTGGGCTCATTCCACTCACATATGTGGGTTTCCATATCGGTGTTGAGTACAGCAAAGTTGGAACATTAAGTGTTGCTTTTAGCTTGACCACAATAAATTCTCCAAACAAACCTTTCCACCAATGCCTCAGTTTAAATAGAGTGTATTTCTGGACATCTGATCTATTTTTAACATTTAGCCTTTTGAGATGTTTCTCTGTTTCATCATTCTTGTGGTTTTGGCTGCTCCACAGGCTTACTATATTTTTCTGTCTGGTCTTCCTATCATAATCCATTTAGACACTCCTCTGTCATTTCTTTCATCCCTCAACAGGGAGGCATTTGCTCCAAGTATCTCTGTTTTTTTGGCTTTAGACTTTTTCTTTTTGGAAGCATGACCACTGTATTTGTTTGTTAGTTATCATGTTTCAGAAGCTCAAGCCCTGGATGTGTATTTACTGTATAACATAAGCCTGGAACCTTTCCACAGGTGTGTGCCTTCCCTAATACCTTGCTGGTGCTTGCTGTCATTATTTGCATAGTCTATCATTTTTGGACATTATGCAAATTTGATATTTCATGTTCAGTCCAAGCTCCTTTTAAACATTCTCCCCACACAGATTCCTCACTCAGATTTTCTTCTATTGGAATAAGAGAGAACCCATGCTTCTCCAGTCTCAAGCTGCTGGGGTGGTCAGTGTGAAGAATTCCCCATTAAGACGATTTAACACCACTTACATGAGACTGAGTGGATGCAAATCTTGATGGGAAGTAAGGCTGGCATATTCTTTGAAGTGTAGTACAGACCATCCCACTGTGTTATTTATCATCCAAGCCATTCCCATTGGCTGTTTCAGCTGCTTTGGTCTTGTGTTCACTTTGGAAACAAATCTTGGATGTTTTTCTTTGCACTTGATTATTATGGTAAGTATTTCGTGTATGTACTTCTCTAATACCGAATGGCCTGACTTACTACCCCATCAACAATACACACAGTTCTCAAATGACTGCCTCTGAAATAATGAGATAGCAGCCAGTTGAGCAATTTTACATTACACCTACCTGTGATACTTTTGAACCAAACTAAAGATTCTTTTGACAATATCTTTTGCTTTACCACTTCTCATTGGTGAAGAGTATTCTCTACTTCAGATGGATGTAGTTAGGGGGTTTCCTGCTGAGTGATGCCCCACTAGGCAACACCCCCTCCCCAGTTGGTGACATATTCCAGGGGCTTTCCCTTTCCAATGCTGTGTTTTCAGAAAGGAGCTAATATTTTTAATCTGCATCAGCCCATCCACCATCTTCAATGTGGGATTCTAGCTCTCTTGTCCAGAGGTTAACTGGCATTTCTGAAGCTAACATTTTCTTTGCCTGAAAGTAAATTTTAGATAGCTACTTACCTCTGCATAACCTCTCACTCTTCCTCCCCATTTCCAATACATTTTGTTTGTCTCATAAAGAATGAGTCTTTGTTCAAATGCAAATGCATATGGAATTTATTGCACATGGAGAATGTGTTCTTCTCCTCTTGATGGAGGGCTATAGTCTAATGATGATAATATCATCATAGGCTGATACAGAAAGTTTTGACACTTTTATGGGTGGGAGCTTTGTTCTTGCAAATGAAATCATTTTTTATAAATGCTTACAGAAGTTTCACTCAAATCAAATGTGTTTAAACTCTATAGTTTTGAATTTATTAAAGAAGTTTTTTGAGGTTGGTTGTTGTTTAAGGTTACATGCACTTTTGATTAGAATTTTCGTATATAAGCCTACTTAAAGATCAGTAAATGAGCTCAGTAGCCAAGTCCTGTAACTTTTAATGAAACCATTTAACAAAAATATGATTTGATTTTTTGCAATATAGAGAAGCTGTTGAACGACACGGCAAATTCCGCCAGCGGTGCAACTTGTTTTTCATTGAGGTTTTATCACGATATTGTTTCTCTGGAAATTCTCCACCTGATGATACAGTTATTAAAGAACTGATCCGACTAATCACAGTTAATAAGAATGAAAACCTACAAACTCGGAATATGACTGTATTTGATGTAGACTATGTAGATCCAACACCTGTCATTCGATCTTATTTGTTGAAATTGCTATTGCCATACAGGTAAGTTAAGCTCTTAAAAGATAAGAGTTTAAACACAAATCATTGAAAAAAGGGGAGTATAAATTAAATTGGATAGCATTTATTGATTCTAACTTTGTTGTTATTGTTATATGATTATATTGGTATTTTTGTAGTCAGGTTTATGCTGAAATATTGTACGTAATATAAACTCAATCTAAAAAAATTATTTTAGTGTTTTTTTTTGTGTGTGTTTTACATTGTCTCATTGTGTACACGTTACAGACCTTACCAGTATGACACTTTACCACTGTAAATTATCATTTTCTCTAATTTAACCTACTACTTTTAATGTGCACACATTATAATTTGTGCAGGTTATGCAAACATTGATTTATTCCATAAAGTTGTAATGTAATTGAACCATATTTTAAACTTATGTATCAGGTTTGTTGAAGGACACTGGCTTGAGACATAGTTAACCTATTAACTGTTGATTTGCCATATAGGGTATGTTCCACCTCTGGCAGTTGAATGCAAGTATGCTATATACAGTGTATGGCTTGCAAAAATTACTCACTCATTTAAAGCAGCCACAGACAAAGAGTTAAAGAATAACTTTTCTATTTGGTTGCTTTTGTAATTTTTTGTCTGGAAACTAAGTGTTGATGTTGTTTAGATCATGCATAATAGAATAAGAAAGTATAACAATAATCAAATCTACAACACTACTTGTATTTATCATGTCATATTTTGTAGATATCTTCCATGTCAAATTAGTTAATAACAAGTTGTGCATTGTTTTGTTTTTTTAATTCAAAACTTTATAATTTTACAACTATTAGAAAATTATGTTTCCACACACACACACACAATTATCATCATATTGTCTTGTTTTTTCTGTAACATCATTTTCTGTTTACATTATGAATTACTCATGATCAATTTATACTGTAGAAACTCGTTGGAACATCACTTGAATGATTTTCTCCAGGAATCGTACAAAATAATTGGTCAGGATGAAGAACTGAACATACTGGTCCTTGACTCACTGGAGGTAGGTTCAAGCTTTCTGTAAATACAAATAAATAGTATATGATAAAATATACAATTAGTGGTAATTTACACTTTGAATGTTTCTAAAAAACGAAATATCAAGCTTTAATGATATCTATTTAGTGAGAACGAAACATGATGATTTTTTTGCCTAATATTATATCATGGAGCATTTGAATGAATGGTTTGGTAGAATCCTTAGTCAGAATTTAGTAATTAGTAAAGGAATTGATTTAAATGCATAATAATAAAAAAAAAAAATCTAGTAAACTTGTGATTTCTCATTTTATATCAATATCATGGATTATTCTTTCGATATGAACTTGGTATCTCAGTAGCACTGCATCACTCATCTTGAAAATTTACCTCGTGAAGTTCAGTGAATTAATTGTTCACATCAGTATTTCATAGAAGAACATACCAAGGTATTGAGAAATAAGTTAAGAAGGATATTTCTTGTATTAACTACATTTATTTAACACAAAAAGCATGTTTTGACACTACAGGATGAAATTTAACACAATATACATAAACAAAAGCTAAGTTCATTATTAGATATTTTATTTAAGGAGTTTTATGTTTTATAATAATATATAAAAAAATTATATTTTCTGCATTCTTTACAAGTTTCGAGTTAGCAGGAGCAAAGGGGGATTTCACATGGGAATATTAATTCTGGGAGCTTAGTCCTCCAAAATAAATTTTACAGTATTTGGATATAGTATAGTACTTTACTGATGTAATAGCTGTTGTATGATTACAATCCAAAAAACTTCCTTACATTGGTATAATGACATACATGGAATAGTCTTATGATATGAATGGTAGCATGGTTAGTAAAAAAACCATACTAAGTGGAACAAACTGTCAAAGTCTTGATACTAGAGAAACTAGTTTCGAAACAGATGTGCATTGTCTTCAGTTTCGCAATGTCTTCTGGGAAGAAAACTAGTCAAGAATGCCACTGTAATTTTGGAATTTTGAATTCTTTTAAGGACACAGGAGGACAAGAAATTGTGTAACTTAAAGTGATTTTGGGAAATGTTTTAATTAGGCAAACGTTTGATTAAGCAACTTTCAATGATTTGTCTTTTTATATAGTTATCCTTTTTATATAAAATCCTTGTTGATTTTTAGTGGATTTGATGTCCAGAACTTTTCGTGCAAAGAAGAGATTGTATTGTTTGTGTTTCCATATATAATTTAATTTTTTATTTTATTTTATGTCAACATAACGTGAATAGTGGGGCAGAATATAACTATGCTAACCTTTTTAATTTGGATATGTTAATTTCATATTTACTACAGTAATAATAAACTTTAGTGTGAATTATGAATGTATTAACTTGTTTCGCTAATTTGGTAATTTATGATGTGAATAAAGATAGTTAAAAAACCCTCCCCTGTTTTTGCCCTCCCAAATGAAACTCTTGACAAGTCATCGCCTATGGTATTATTACTTTTATTATAGACTTTAATGCATCATATATATCCACAAGTCTTCAAAAATTATTTCAGTAAGCACAGTTTATTTAATTGGATATGTTGAAGTGTGTGGTGTTGTGTCAAAATACCTTTAAAATTTTGATATGTAGTTAGTTCGTCTTGAACAACTGAACCAATTTTCCTTATTATTATTATAATCTTTGGGCTTCCATTTTGCCCACACTATATTTTGAATAGAATACATGAGTTGAAATATTTTGAACACATAAATTATCAGTTCTAACCAGTAACTAATCTTATTTGAAAGTATGAGCTCTTTTCTCATGGCATTTAAATTTCAACTGGTTAACTGTGGCAGCTACTGACTTTTGTAAATCCTGGTGCACTATGGGATTTATATGAAAATTTGTTAGGTAGGTTTGGTGCCTACCACTTTTTTATAATACAGTGGATATTATAGTATACCAGTTTTTTGTTCAGTTATTTAAAAAAATTAATATCTTTTCAAAAGAAACTTGTTTGAAAAAGGTATGAGAACTATTTATATATTTTTTTTTCAATAATTAAAATTTTCTAATTCAATAGCAAATTGGTTTTTAAGAGAATATTTGAATATCAGTTAACTTTAAAATGCAAAACATTATTTGCTACTAAATGTTCATGTTTGTATTGGATTTGCAGAAGTATTGTTAGTAATAAATAACTATAAATGTAAACAAAGCAGGAATAAGAACTGTAGAAAATGATTAACTAAACATACAAAACTTTTATACAGTGAACTGTTTTAAAACATTTTATGTACAAATAGTTGCTATAATGCACTTAGTCTTGATTCTTAGGGCAAAGACATTACAAATACTCTTATTGGACAACAAAGTTTTATCTTAATGTATAAACTATACTAGTCTACATGTACTATGCGAAGAACGTCCAGTTTTTGTATACTATTTGTGTACAAGGAGATGCCTTTAGCTAGTATCAAATAATTTAATGTATTTGAATGTTGATGATGTGAATTTTGTGTTTCTTTTTTTAAAGTAATGTAAATATTTTTGCAACAGGATTATATTTCCACCTTTCCTCTTCATTCATCTGAGATGGAAGCAAAGGCTCTACAAATAGCTGTCTCTTTACTGCAAAAATTCAGTTCATACAATGAATGTCAGGAACTAAACTTATCTTTCTTAGAAGCTGTTGCATCCATCCGTTTTTCTCTACGAGTGTATGCTTTTGTTCTATATAAAAACTATAACTCAAGTGAGTTCCTAATTTGATCAAGTGTTTTTTTATTTATAATTTGACAGAACTTGTATCAAGTTATATTTTGTCTTTGAAATAATGCAGTTATATAGCTTTTAATTGTTTTAATTGTAAATATTAACCAAGTTGAGTTTTCCTGAAATACACATGAGTCTAACATATTATATTCATGATATTTTATTGTCTTTTTGTAACTTTCCTTCATATTGTTTCCAAAGCAACATGTTTGGAAGAGGAAACAAAAATTACCAAAAATAATTAACACTTGCCATGGGCAGATCAAAGTGTGCACGTCACAACTTTTTACACTTATATTCAAAATTTAATTAAACTACTTTAATTTCTTATAGTATTTTGGCACTTGTGTATAAAGTTAAAATCATAAATAATATTCGACGTT